AACAGTGCAAAGGTAACTCATAGCTGCTCTTGTTTCCTCTGGATTAAACACACTCATTAGAAAAAATCAGTCGCTGCCAACAAACTTGGATGAACTGCTTTAATTTTTAAGTCTTTGTGACCTTTTTAAGGTCAACCTTGTTCTACTCTAATATCAGAAAGCAGGTACAAACATTAATCATTAACAAACCTTGCATTAACAAACCCTGTCGTACTTTCATAGCATGCCTGTATTCTGCCTACTACTTATATGTTTGTCTTCTGATGGGATGCTGCAAATACAACAATGTATTTATCTTCAGGCCATTATATACACTTGTGATTATCATCCCATTGGATATCTTTTAACATTTCTATTAAATACAGAGTTCCAGTTTAAAAAGTATACTCCATTCTAGAAGAACTGTTTTTCAGCTGTTGGACATGTTGCAGTTTCCACTAATGATTTAAGAGCCCATTCTGAATATGTGGACATCTCCACAAAGTACTGCTCTGAAAGCTGGATGACTTCAGAATAACCTGTTAGAGCAGCTAGGCAGAACTGTCTCAAAGGTGCCAGGGAAAAAAAATCCTCCTCTGGAACTGAACTCTTCTGTTTCTGCTTAAAGAGCTGTATTTGCTAGGCTGAATTTCACCCCCTGGCTTGCAGTTGCAGTCCAAGTCCTCAAGAACTGCTTCAGCTCCGAACCAGCCGCACAGACTGCTTTGATGAGACACTTTATCCCTTGATTCTCATCTGTCAGCCCTCCCTTTCCTGTGTTCTCTTCCGTGCTCTTCCCTTCAAGCACATGCTACTTTATTATCTTTCCCACCAGGAAATGCTGCAGAAGAGAAGAGATAGAGATTTAGTCTCCCCCCGTACCTCTGTACCTCCTCTGGAACTTCTCACGGACTCTCCAGGTGAAATGTTTGAGCAGCAACCAAGTTGTGCCTCTGCTGTTGGACTATACTATACTATACTATACTATACTATACTATATTCGGACTATATGTTTCCACAGTACAATGCTGTTCACACACACCTAGCTATGTCTCTTCTGTGGTGCTACTCTCCAAGGACCTGCCATCCTTGCTGTGATTTGGATTCTACCAGTCACACAAACAGCCCTTGGGCAGAGAGGGCAATAGAGACAGAACTGGGAACACAGCTGTCACACAATCCTCCAGGCAGCCAGGTAGTCAGTCTCTAAAATTTCCTCCCAATAAAAAGTCACTTGTGGGACAAGCTCCTCTTCCTCTTTCTGCTTCCTGGAGGTGGGATACTCAAGAGTTTGTGAAGGAATTCGCTATTTCTTAGCTCTCTTACCTGAAAACAATAAGCGCTTGCTGGCAATGCATGGCTAGATGGATTTCCATCTTCAGAGTTCCTGGAGGTTTTCATCTTTGTAGTTTTAAAATAGGATTGTATATTCTATACGTAGAAAAAGAACTTTTTCAACAGGAACAAGATCTGGTCCTTACTTTGCCTTTACTGCTTTATCGTGTGGAAGTTTTTTCTGCTGACACATCGCCCTCTTGTGGCCCTCCTGCAATCCTGTCAAGGAAAGACCATGAGCAGAGAAATGCCTTATTATTTTTCTTTGAAATTTTGTATGCCCCCATCACACAGATTCCTAGACCTTCCAATAGCATGCTGGGTTGCATGTGGTGAGTGGATCCCTTCATCAAAGCAGCTATCAAATGCACCTGTGATTAAAACAAGACATGACTAAGCCAGCAGTTCTACAAAACAAGATCCAAAGAGGGGTGTCATTGGAGTATATTTAAACCTATTCTTGAGCCTGCTCTTTTCCTTGCTATAAACATACAAACCAGACACCGGGCCTCTGATTATGAAGAGATGGGATGGGGCAGGCCAGGAAGCTCCATACAGACTGAGCATTCTCCAGGTGAGGTAAGTACCCAGGGAACGAGATACGATGGTTTTACTTTCATGTGACCGTATTTCCCTATCCACTGTCACTCAGTCCCCTTGGCCTTGAGGGCTGAGGAGCAATACCTGCTAACAACAGCTGCACGGATGCTGTCTTAGAGGGCATCATTCTAATTTTCGTCATGACACTGACAGCATCCTCTGCATTCAGACGTGTCTTCAGAGACCTGAGAAGTGATTAGGGCTTACAGCTACTGTGTGTGTACTCCAGAGTGGTGTTCTGTACAGTCACAACCTGCATAATCACAAATTTCCAGTTCTCTGCTGAGCAGAGGACAAGCTCTAGCCCTCATGCCCCTGAGAATGTGTTCTTGCTTAGCTAGCACTAGCCTATCCTTGAGTGCAACCCTTTCTGCCCAAACACTCTGACAATCCTTATATCCAACTCCCGTGTTAGGAAAACTTCCTGCTGTGCTGCTGTCATGTCCATAGCTGCCTTTGGCAACATAGCATGCTCCAGGCACACATCATGGCAGGAAAGTCTTGCTGTTGGAGGATGAGCTTGGTACATTAAAGCATGCTTAAGAAGGGTGAGGCACATAACTGTCTCTTTTCTATTAAGAAAGACTAGCAGCCCTGAAACACCTTCACTACTATGTGCCTCCCCATGGTCTGAAGACGAAAAGGTGTCCTGCTGGGTCCAAGGCAGTTGGAAGTGCCAGAGGATGTAAACACAAAACAGAGAGGAGAGCCACGCTGTTCTTCTTGGCCACTTCAGGAATTTACACAGCAAGGCTGCTGTTATGATCCCAGTGACACTGAATCCTTCGTACTATGGAACTATGAGTTTCAGCATCCCAACTGAAATGTGGACAGTATGTGTTAAGGAAAAAGGAAGGTGACTGGGACTCATCTTAAGACAGAGCAGGGCTGCCATACATCCAGTTCTGTACCCGGCTTAGACCTGTGGAGCCTGCCTCCCATCAAGGATCTGAGCATATGGTCCACATCCAATAAGGGAGTGGACTTGCAACTACATTGGCAGTGTGCTGCCATTACAGCATGGAGCATGTCCCAGCCATGTTCCGTTCTATGTCCACTACTTGATTGGCAGGTTATCTGCCACGAGCAGAACTTATTTGGCTTGCTGCCATGCGATAGGACAAGTCACTGGCACTTAGGACTTGATGTTACTCTTATCACATGGAGATGATCATAATTCTCTAGACAGCAGATGGCCAGCTCTCCATTGTAATTCCTTGGGATACAACCCTGTCACCCCTTGGCTTCTTGCACAGAGCCAGAGTGCAGGGCCAGCTGCATCCCTGCAGTGGAGAGCAATCCCTTTGTGTGTGCCAGCATCCACTCTGTGCCTCTAGTACCATCTTCCCAGAAAGAGCTGGGAATCAAAGAGATCACTAGGCTGGAAGATCAGTGATCTTGTTTCAATCCTAGAACAACATGCCCTGGTAAGCATTTCAGTGGCTGGTCAGCTCTAGATGATGTCCAGAACCCTTTCCAACCTGATATGAATCAGTAACTTTTCTGTTCTTAGAGATGGGCAGAGGCCAGGAGGGGATCAGGGACTAAGCTCCCAGCCACATGCAAGTGCTATATGCTGTAATGAAAATCCTCATTCTTCCAGGGAACAGAGGAGCTTCAAGCAGCACCCTCAAGCTTTTACATCAGCAGCCAAAGACCTGTGATTCTTCTCCACAATGGCAAACAGAAAGGATGGTACTATCAAAAACACTGGTGAGTCTGGCTGAATCACATCTAGCTCTTGTATAATCTACACATGAAACACCGGAGAAACAGGACTTTTAGACTGTCTACCGCCTTGTGGTACCACTTCCCAGCATCACAAATCACCAAGCAGGCCACTGTTCAGGCTGTCATTCAAATGCCAGTCTCTAGACATGAAGACTTTACATCTGGCTGGCTAGATCCTCTTGTACAGCAGAGCTGCTAACACACCATGAATCCTGAGAAGATGATGATCTGTCAGATTTTAAAACAGGCTGTTGTTCTACATGGTGTAATTTCCTCCAACACAGAAATGATAACTCATCTGTTGGTACCTCTTCCTGTTGGGTTGGAAGATGTTGCTTTGGTAACAATACTAAAATGTCTAATTTGCTTTCATAGATAGAAGAGTCATCAGTGAGCTAAGTATGGATAAAAGCAATACAGATGCTGTATTGTACGAACAATACCCTGTTCTTTAAAGATGCTCATTCCAAAAAGACCTTTCTTCAAAGTGAACTCAACCCTTTCTCAAATCCTACATCAAGGCCATATAGAATAGTATTTTCTATGTTAAACTCAGGATTTTTAAAGTGATGGTGAAGGCTCTCAAAGGTCATCTGCTTCACTGCTTTTAAAGAGCACTAGGGAAAAGTGTCCATCTTGACTATTTACAGTGGCTGTATACCGACTGACAGCACTACGATCTTTACCACACTGGCACCTGACAGGACATTCTTCTAAACAGCCTGTAGGAAGTCTGAACTACTTCTTTCCTACATCAGCACTTGTACTATCCTCGACTGCAACTCACTGAAAAGCCAGCTTGAACTAGTCAGGGTCAATAGTTATGGAAAAACCAAACAAACTTGGAGTAGGAGGTAGTTCAGTAAGAAAGGCTCTGCTAAATTAAAAATTTGGAACACTGTTAATCTGGTAGAGAAACAGCTTTTTGTGCTAGGCATGCCTCTTCAAAAACTACTAGGATCAAAATTCATTGGTAAAGTAGAGAAAGGATCTGCTAAGTTAACTGAGCATGTGATAAAGCAATACTTGTAATTTCACCTGAGGTCCAGATAGTCAAAGAATATAATTGCAGGAATACTCAACACAGAGTTTAAAACATGTTCTCTTCCATGATCTCCAGTAGCTGGAAGGACTTTGTCTTTATTAACAGACCCTTTGGGGAAAAAAAAAAAAAAAAAAAAAAAAAAGACAACTTACATAATCTTTCCAAACAGGAATTTGAGATTCCAGAGAGACAAATGCAGCAAGTTGTTTTATTGTGAATTTATAATAATTAGTCTCTCTATTTCAAACAGATAAAGGTGGATACCAAAAGGAAGTGTTTTCAACACCATGTTCATTATTCCAAAGGCCCGGGTATCTTCTCAATGCAGAGCTCAGTGAAGGAAAAAATGAAGTTTAGGTCCTGCTGCTACTGAGGGAAAATGTCTTTATAGGTTATGGAGGGCTTTTCCTAGCTAAAGTATTTCACGTGGGACACGAGACTAACACACAGACAGCCAACATGAGGGACAGGCTTCTACTTTTCACTGCAGAACAGCTGAGGCAACAGAACCTCTTGAGGAGAGGAAAATATTATTTGGCCTTAAGCCTGAATACAGCCTACTGTATTCAATAGGTAGAAAAAGTTACCAGTCTTGATGTTAGCTGTAACCAATTCCTTGTCAACATACAGAATTGCTGTTGTGCAACTTAAACAGGGATCAGTCTGACTCATAGCCCAACTCCAACTTAAAGACTGTTGTAATTTCATCGTTTCTCCAGTTTTTTGTACTTGGCTTCTGCAGAAGGAAAAATAACAATATTTTAGGACTGGATAGGTAAAAGCTTTGAATCCTGTAAGCTGCTATACATCTTAAAAATCAAGTTAATTTACCGTATCATTCAGGGTCATTTTTTACTAAAGCATTTAGGCAAATATAACTGTACAAGAAAATTTTAAGAACCAGGTGCTTTAGTCAGACAACTAATACTAATTTAAGCCAAGGGGACTTGGGTGCATGGTGGAACTTTACGAATCCCTCTATTTGCAGGATTAAACATCTGTTGTTAAAATTTGGGTCAGTGCATATTGTAAAAGAGAAATCAAGCCTCGCTTATAAGCTGTAGTTCAATAATACCTGTACTAGTCCACCTCCATATATCTTGATATATTAGTCTTTTCCCAACACTTGCCACTTCATATACAATGTTCGTTGCTCAAAAGCAGCATACGCAACTCTGCAGCTCAGGCTTGTTAAATAGAGGAAGAGTTTACTTTGTATTTTTAAATCCCCTTGCAAGGGACTATGCTGCTAGGTAGTAACAGTACAGGACAATAGTTACCAAGTTTTTTGGAATATGCATCCAATTTATAAGCTGCCTGCTCCAGAGCTGCAACCTGTTCCTCAATTAGGTTGATTTGTTCCAGATATGGTTGAAGAGCAGCATCTTAAAAAAGCAGAAAAATCATATCTGTCAGTTCTCAGTAATTTACTTCAAAGAAAAAGTTCACACTTGAAACACAAGAATTTTTCATTACATTCTTCAGATAGAACAATTTAAAAGCTCCTCCCTTCCCCTGCCCCACAATCAAGTGGTGATACTGACAGCCATGTTCCAGGAAAGTATGAAATGTTTAAGAGTACTGGCTAGACTCAACGCAAGTAACAATACAATGGGAATCAAAACAAGTGTTATATCCTATCAGATCCAAAATTTGGGGTAAAACAGGACATAAATTCAGATGTGTTTTCTCTTATGGTAGTTTACATAGTCTATAGCTGTAAAGAAATATACAAGATTGGCATTGTACAGCAGTATGTCTATTTCAGGGAGTTCTCCTTCCTTCAGCACCTAATGGAGTGCAAACTATCTGACTCCTAGATACTTAATTTCCCAAACAAGTGTACATTCATTATACCCCTACCTTATTTGGTTTACTTACATTTTTGATTTAAATCCTTCAGATTTCTACTGATGTTTATAGCAATATCTTTCATTTCTAGGTACTTCAAGCTAGTCAGCTTATTCATGTTTTCCAACAGTTTGTAGTCTTCACTGGTGGCTTAAAAAGAATAGAGTTTATTTTAATTAAAAGTTGATGCGGTTTGAATTGGGTGCAGACTCTTCAAGAGGACAAGAGATTTCAAACCAATAGCCAAACATAACAAAGAATAGTTTCCACGGTAATACAGGTGTTAGTATAATGTTCTACAAAAAGAGAGATAACATTTCATGAATTGTAAAAATCAACTGGACTTATGAATACTTATTCACTCGCTTTTTTTTTTTTTTGAGAGAAAAATTGACTAATTCCTCACATTTCTACTCTTATTCTGTCAGTTAAACACTTACATTTACAAAACTGATAGCACAAATCCAAACTGGTAATCTGTACCGTATACCCTTCAAGTCCACGCAAATCAGTAGTGCTGTGGAGTGCTCTCAAAATTAGAGCCTATGGAATCCACTAATTTGTTGAGCAGTTTACTTTGCTCCAGTTAATGTTGCACAGCAGTTTATTCTAAAGCATGAATGTTGGAAAAACGTGTGTGATCCTTGCTCTCACTCAGAAACAAAACAGCTGCACATGTTCCACTCTCAGTTGTGCTTCTCTTCTAGTCCTTCTTAAACTAGACCCCTTTTGTTTGTTTGTTTGTTTTTCCATGTACAAGCTTCTGCAAAACTAAAAAGATTTTTTTTTTTAAGTTGCTGATAGCATACTGAATGCTTTTGAGAAATGTGCTATTCTGGGACTTCATTAATATGACTAATCTCAGTGTTGTTAGCAACATGCCAGACTTGACCTGCCAGTCTTGCTAGATATGATCTAAATAGGTACAGTTCAGACAAACTACACAACAGATATCTTCAAAAGAAAATCAAAAGAAACAAAAACTTACTTGCAGGTCAGTATTTCAGTATTGCAGTGCCTTACCTGTCAGTTCACCTGTTAAGTAAGTCGCCATTTTGCTGAACATATCTTTACAGAGTTCATTGATGTCTGCTTCTGCTGGTTCCTTAGCTTCCTCCGCTGTTTCAACAGCAGGATCCTCTAATCAAGGTACAGACATTACAGGGTTAGGGGAAAGTTAGCAGGTACAGAAACACACCATAGAGATTAAACGGTCCCATTTTTTTTCCCCTCAAATTGACTGCACCTACTTTCCATGTAAGTTGTCTACTTTACACTAAGGGGTAACAAACCTAGGCAGTTTCCTTGAAGTAGCATCAAGATTATTTCAAAATAATACTTTAGGGAGCATTTAAGGGACAGGCACCTGGCCTGACCACACTTGCAAGTATCAGCCCCCTCCTCTGCTTAGACGACACGAAAGGCATTTGGGGAGAACTTCTGAGTGACTTTGTGCACAATGCTACTGATGTTTATTTCTAGTCACTGATTCAGAATAGAAGAACAGCCCTCCCAGTCTGTTTCACGAGGGTCCTACAACAGATCCCCACCTGTGGAAAGTGATAATCACCGCTTTTCTTCTCCAAACCCATTTCTACCGCAACCTGCCCTTGTTCTGCTCTTGGCAGGAGCAGCTCAGCACCTCTTCCTCAACCCGAAAGGTTGCTCTTTCCTTTGCCGGCAGTTTTTGCCAGCTTGAAGGCCAAGGCTGCCCCGAGGCCCGCGGCTCCCACCGGCCGAAGCGGCGGTGCTGGGGGGTGACCGGCACACGGGGG